ACGGAAACGGTAGAGCCGCAGCCATGTACCACGTTTTTGGGCGCGATCCCTGGGGTCAATCGGCGAGCGCGGCGCTATGGCGCATGCTGGGGTGGATGCCGTCCTGATTGCTGGCTAGGATACCAAGTGACGCTCGGTATATAACACTTGAGCGCCCTAGCCTTTTGGTTCAGTCAAACTCAAAGTCAACAGAGCAGCAACTACCAACCTCACATCAAGACCCTCGACCTACAATACAATTAAAGCACCCATCGGAACATTCTACCACCACCAGCCAACATGTATCAAAACCTTGGACGCACACCCAACTGGGACACTTGCTTCAACCAAGTCCAACTCACTGAGGAGAACTTACAATTACACACCGCTACACACAAGAAGGTATGTCTTGACTCGAGAACAGTTCATCGGTTCACTGCTAACGATGTCAAAGGTTGACAGCGCTTGTCAAATGGATGACCAACTCTACTACCGATACGATGGTGACTTCGCCGAGTCAGACGACGGCAACGTGGAAACCCAAAGAGAGACCATCGCCTTGAGGAGAGCCGCGTCACTGGAGGTGTTGAAGGCGTACGGTGGATGCTTCGCTTCCGGCTTCCTCGCTCTTCAAGAACCCCTCCCATCACGACCAAAATCGAAGCTCAGGTCATACGAGAGCGCGTACAGCGTCGACATGTCAAGAACCGCCTCAAACGCCACATCACTCGAGACGGCGTCAACTAGCTGGAGCAGCAACGTCGACACGCCACGACCAGACTCATCAACTCTGGGCGTACCCGTGCAAGAAATGGAGAAGGGATCAAAGTGGAGCTGGAGAGGCATGAGGAGAAGCCGAAAGCAGGCAGCAAAGAAGCTCGAAGTCTAAAAAAGTCATCTATTACCGTCGACCAGCTGGTCTTGCATTTTATTTGTCTACTTGCGTGTTAGCGAAGGCGTTGGGGTTTACGGATACCATTCAAGACTGCGCAACCATCTCTTTTGTCACGATGCCAATGGCCGAATTACCCAAAATTCTACGAAAAAGCACGACTTTGTAGTGTATAATGTATATATCACAAAAAGACAGACTCGACGAGTCGTTTGACAACCCCCACACTCTCCTACCTTGCAATGTGTGTGCTTGTGCAATGCTTCTGGTAGGCATCCGAAGACCGGCCGGCGTGCAGACGGCCGAGCTTGGAGAGCCGGAAGTGAACATCAGACGGAAAAAGTCGCATGTTGGATGAGATTCGGAGACGGCCATCAGCAGATGCAGCGCAGGTCGACGGACATCTAGATCTGCTGACCTGATGGGGTAATATTAGGCGACAGCCTCAGCTGGCCCTCGAGCTATGAGTAAGAGGGAGAGTAAGTTTTGTTCGGAGGTCACGATGGAGTTGCGGGTGTAGTGCGGACTGCTGGCTCCCGTGGGGGAAGGCCTGCAGGCTGACGGACACGCAGCGCCTGACCCCAGCAACCGAGCCAGTCACAGCAGGCGCGTCGCTCGAGGAAGGTGCGTCCGGAGTTAGGCAGGGGAAAAACAAAGGCGTCGCACACAAGGCATTGAAGCTCAACAGATGAGATTCGAAACACGCGGATTGTCGAACGAGGACATCGTGCCATGACGTACTGGTGGGGCACTATGATGAGGCGGCAAAGGTCGGCGCGCGCGTGCAAGTCGCGACGGTGATGAGGAGGAAGAAGTACCCCAGGGGTTCAGGGCAGCACGGGGCCTTTTGGCAGTCTTCGCTCAGCATCATCATGCCGCCTGGCTGTCGCATTGATAGCAGTCACGCCGCCTGCGTCTGGCACGATGCAGCTGCTTCACCGCCTGGTCTGTCATTGCCTATCGTGATAGCAGACCCACCACTGACGCCTGCTGCTATGCCCTTCTGCTGCCATCGGCGGACCTGCCGGCCTTGCAGCGCTCAAAACTGCTACCTTCGCCCGTTGCATATCCATCTTTTCTCTCCAGTCCTACGCTGCACCCGCCACCTAGACTAGCACTACCAGCATATCGTCGTGTGACCGCCGCGCGCCGTTCCCTAGATTCTGAAGCATCTTGATACAAAGGTGCTGCCCCACCCCCACCCTCGCCGTCAACCACCCTCGTAGCTAACGCTGGCCAGTACCTACGCCATACATAGCACATCTTCACCACCACAACACCCACTACCACCACACCCCCTGACTGGTATCTTCGCCCCACCGCCCCCGTAGCATGAGCTCGCAATCTTCCAAGCCCCGCCGAACCTCGACTGTTCTCGACCCGTACGCTGCACCGCACGTCTACTATGGCGAGAGTCACTCGAAGAAGCATGCCAGAGCCAGGACCTACTCAGCCGTGAGTACCGCGCTCCTTCCTGCGTCTAATGTCATGACGAGGCTAATTGAGTGCAGAACGTAGACAATTCCACGCGTAATGCTCCATTGGCCGAGGGCGCCATTGCTGGTCGTCGCATCAGTCACGGTACGTGCCTTCCACCGCACCCACGCCGCGCCATTGGCTGACAAGACCAGATGAAATCTCCCTGCAGCCTCGCCGCTTCAAGATAAACGTTGAGGAGACGCTCCACCAGCTTCTCACCCGTGAAGATTCGGACGGCAACTACCAGATCACAATCGACGACAAGGGTCCCAAGGTACGATGCTCTGCAGTTACACAGAGAGCGTGGCTGACAATACACAGACCATTTCTCTTGGTACGCTCGGCTCCAATGCCTTCAAGAAGCACGACGTCCGCGGCACCTACATGCTCTCGAACCTGCTCCAGGAGCTCACACTCGCCAAAGACTACGGCCGCAAGACCATCGTGCTCGACGAATCGCGATTGAACGAGAACCCCGTAAACCGCCTGAGCCGCCTCATCCAGTTCTCCTTCTGGGACGGCCTCACCCGCCGCATCGATGGCTCCAACATTGCGAAGGTCGGTGTCGACCCCAAGGACTGGACAGACGACCCACGGCCGCGTATATACATTCCTCAGGGCGCGCCTGAGCAGCACGAGTACTACACCCGCATTGCTCGTGAACACCCCGAAATGCGTCTCGACGTCATCTGGCTGGACAAGGACTGCGACAACGACGATTACGTGCGCGACTTGAACAAGGCACCCGGCCTGCTCGCCATTGCCATGGAGGAATGGATAGATCCAGAGACGAAGAAGAAGGACCTGAGAGGCCTGCCTTTCGTCGTCCCTGGAGGCCGTTTCAACGAGCTTTACGGATGGGACAGCTACATGGAGTCGCTTGGTCTCCTCGTCAACGATCGCGTCGACCTGGTCAAGTCCATGGTCATTCACTTCTGCTTCTGCATCAAGCACTACAACAAGATTCTCAACGCGAACCGTACATACTACCTCTGCCGATCCCAGCCACCCTTCCTCACCGACATGACTCTGCGATGCTACGAACGCATCAAGCACGAGCCTGACTCCAAAGAATTCCTGCGCAACGGTATCCTTGCTGCCATCAAGGAATACCACTCGGTTTGGATGAGCGCGCCGCGCTTAGACCCTGTCACTGGACTCACCAGGTACCGACCTGGCGGAAGAGGCGTGCCACCCGAGACCGAGGCCAGCCATTTCCACCAAGTCTTGATGCCGTATGCCGACAAGCATGGTATGACATTTAAGGAATTCGTCGATGCATACAACAACGGAAAGGTCAACGAGCCTGAGCTTGATGATTATTTCCTACATGACCGCGCTGTGCGTGAATCCGGCCACGACACCTCCTACCGTCTGGAGAGGGTCGCAGCAGACCTCGCCGTCGTTGACGTCAATGCGCTGCTCTACAAGTATGAAGTCGACATTGGTCGATGCATTCGCAACCATTTCAACGACAAGCTCGAAGTTCCAGAGGGATTCCGCACTGGCGACATGAAGCCTGGTCATATTGAGACTTCTTCCACATGGGAGCGCCGCGCTAGAAAACGCCGCGTTAATGTGGACAAGTATCTCTGGGACGAGGAGGCAGGCATGTACTTCGATTATAACACTGTCAAGCAACAACGCACCGGTTATGAGAGTGCCACTACTTTCTGGCCCATGTGGTCCGGTCTCGCCACTCCCCGCCAAGCTAGCATTCTTGTCGAGAAGGCTTTGCCTAAGCTGGAAGCCTTCGGAGGACTTGTTTCGGGTACAGAGAAGTCGCGCGGCAAAACTGGGCTTGACCGCCCCAACCGTCAGTGGGATTATCCATTTGGTTGGGCGCCGCAGCAGATGCTTGCCTGGGTCGGTATGCAGCGATACGGCTACGATGCGGAAGCCCAGCGTCTGGCCTACCGCTGGCTCTTCATGGTCACCAAGGCATTTGTTGACTTCAACGGCGTTGTCGTTGAGAAGTACGATGTCACAAGGAAGATCGATCCTCACAAGGTTGAGGCCGAGTACGGTAATCAAGGCAGCGACTTCAAGGGTGTTCCTCGCGAAGGGTATATTTCTTCTCACCTCATTTACTAGTTCATGGCTAACATGTCACAGCTTCGGATGGGTCAACGCAAGTTACATTTACGGTCTCACGCTACTCAGCGCACACCAGCGTCGTGCTCTCGGTGCCTTGACCGATTGGGACAGCTACGCCAAAGCCATGGAGGACCTTGGCATGATGTAAACCGACTCCCGCTTACTTTGTTACGACTTCACGAGATGCATCTGCATGAGATGTTGGGTCTGCTTCGTTGTTCGTAATAGAGGCGCAGTGGAAAATGAACCTGGGTTGCGTTTATGAGGTTTGTCAGCTTGTCTGTATAGGGGTGGGGTGGACATATCAGCACAGCACGTGTATTGTTTGCAGGAAGTGAAACTGACAGGACTTTCGGTACGGTACCAGGAGTCGATCTCGGCACGATGGCTTAAGCTACACCTATGATCAAATGAAACACATCATTAACTGTCCAATGTCTCGCTTGGCTTTACTAGGAAGGTTTCATTTCATTTCATTTCACGTCTGCTTGAAAATTACAGTACTCAACAGAAATGATTCGAGGTCCCCATTTGCATCGTCTAGCTTTCCCATTTAGAGGTTAACGTCATTATCGATGTAGTTGTTATGCATATCATTCGATGACTCGCTCTGCGCCTTGCTCTCCTTCTGCTCCTCAAGCTTGGCGTCATACTTCTTCTGAAGCTCCTGTAGCGAAGTCTCAAGCTCGGCAATCCTCTTTTTATCCTCTTCACTCCTATCATCAAGCGGCACGTGATGATCAGAATACGCGTTCCAGAGGATGTCGTACTTTGTCTTGAGTTGATCGAAAGTCCAAGAGAGGTCTCGTTCGGTGGGCGGAGGGGTGGACATTGTCTGCTGCTGATGAATCGGTAGATGGTAGTTGACGAGATCGGGATATGCGAGCAGACTGTGCTCTTTATGCGCTTTCGCCAATATTTGTGCTATCATGGCAAGCGAAGTACGTCGTGAATTACACGCGTGACATAGCAAAGTGTGAACAATCGATTCGGTTGTGATGAGGTTCTCAGATGAGACTACCCTATACGTCACCAATCACAGTATAGGATTGCCGATTCTCTCATCCCTCAATCTGCTTCAGAGCCTCTTTCTGATCTTACTCAGGCGGTCCATCACACAACGGTGGCGAAGCACTTGGTTCCTTGGGCGGAACCTCCCTCTTCCCCTGCACCCTCTCCGCCTTGACAAAAACCGGGATAACACCGCCCGTCTCAAGCGCAAACGTCCTGTGCCCAAGCACCTCCAGCATACTGCCAATCGCTCCCGAATGACTGGTAAAACTCAACCACACATTGTCGTCGGTGGCGAAAACATCGTCCAGAAACGTGGCTAGGCGGTACCGTCTTGCGGACCTCGGTTCCCTATATCCAGCTTCCCAGAGAAGATCTTCGTTTGAGAAACCGGGTTCGAAAGTGAGAGGTGGGTCCGTGAAAATGGCCTTGATGTGCGAGGCTGTGCTGCGGCGGTCACATGTATGTACGCCGAGGGCTTCGCGGACGAGCTCTTTGATGAAGGGTTTATAGGGGTGGGATGACGGAAGTGGAAGGGACTTGAAGCTCAGGTTTGCTGTTTCGATTGTGCGGGTTAAGGGCGAGACGTAGTATGTTTGTGGGGGTGGAATGCCGAGGGGCAGTTGTTCGGCCCACAGCTTGTTCACAGCGAGAGCTTGGTCTTGGCCCACAATGGTGAGGTTTGCGTCCGCCCAGGTTATGCCGTCGTAGCCGTCGAGGGCGGCGTAGTAGCACTTGGGATTTATGTTAGCATAAGGTCTCCTTGATGACATATATTCGGAGACGAGTGATTCCCGAAAATAGAAAGTGTTGGAAGACGAATCAAACTTACATCCCAAGCTTTTGTCCCATACTTCGTCTCTGCAACGTTGTGCCAACCCTGACCATGGCGACCCAGGAAGAGTACTTTGTAACTCTCACCCTCTTTCTTCGCTGCTTCCAGACTGGCCACATATCGTTCAAGACGTTTCCATTGCTTTTCCTCGCTGTCATCATCTCCCGGGTAGGAACGGTCTATCAGACCAAACTTTTGCGTCTTCTAGGAGGAATGTTAGCCAGCTTCTTCGGATCCCAAATTGGGGGGACGTGAATGAACGGATGGAATGACTCAATCCCGCAGGTACGTAGTTGCGTGTGAAGCTTGAAGAACAAGGAATTGAACGTACGAAATCGAAACTCCTGTCATCAGTCTCATCTTCGCTCTGCATGAAAACGCCCTTTTGCACCGTGTACTTGAAGTGGTAGTCCAACGCCGGCTCTGCCGGGACAGGAACCGTGGAAGTTTGATCTGTGGTACTCATGCTGAAGTAAAACAAGAAGATGAGCAGGATAGAGAGAAAGACGATGGGTCTGGGAGAGGTTAGCGCAGGCACTCTCGTGGGAAAGTGCGCAGGTGAAGTTGGAAGGCGCAGTAGGGCTGAGATTGGCAGGTTGTTTACATGGGGATACCGACACCGCAGATTCTTGTTTTGTGCGAGTATGAGGGTATGAGCATTATACGGGAGGATTGCAGGCTAACATGTTGTTGCTGTGCTGTGAAGGCAGGCGGCGTACTGCCGATTGTAACGGTGAGTCGCTAGCTAGCACGAGCCAATCATGTACTTGGCCGCATCACGATACATATGTCGGTGCACTCAATCTGTCTAGCATCGGGGTCTAAGGGGTGGAGATTCGCTCGCCGCATAGGGGGATACAAGCGGGGGATTAAATGCGATGCTGCGCATCATGTAGCTTCGATGACGTCAATTGCATGTTCAGAGGCAACGTATTGCTTGCGCGTAGATCGTAGTTTTATCTAGTTTCTACAGCTGCTCAATGAGACTGAGCTACGAAGCCCGCGCAGTACAGGCTAGGCCGTAGCTGTCGTACGCTGTCCACCATTGTGGTATTCTACCGTGATGTCCATCAAACGCCCATCCCAAGCCCGCTAATTCAGAAGAGACTTATCGCAGCCGAAGCTGCCTTTTTCAAGCGGAATGCATCGCAATATCGCAACCTGAGCGTGTACTTGCGCCCGGTCTGCGACCTTAGCAATGACCCGCTCATTTCTTCTTCGGGAACTTGGGCTGCCCCATCTTGTCACCCCGCAGGATGACGTTGAGCACGCGCTCCATGTTTCCTAGCAGCTTCTGGTCTGGTGTTGCTGTGCCGCGCTCAAAGTCTGCGATGATGGTGGGTGTGCTGTTGCACTTTGTAGCCAGATCTTTTTGCGTCATAGTTGTGCCCTTGTCGTTCTTTGCCTCGGAGCGCGCCTTAGCGATGGCTTGGCCGACGGCGATACCAACGGTCTTGGGCTTGACGATGTCATCGGAACGGTCGACTTTGGTGAGGCGCTGGCCTTCTGACGAGGCTCCCTGTGGCTGGTCGGTTAGTATTGTTTTGAGTGAACTTTGGGAATCACGAAGAACGAAGTTGTTAAACTAAGTCGGACGTGTAAGGAGTACTCACGGCGTTGGCAGAAGCGAACTTCTTCTCTGTGGCGACGATACCGCCGCTACGTTGGGCAGCGTTTAGAGCTGACTTGCCCTTGACTACGGTTTCGCGAGGTCCGGCGGCGCCGCCACGAGTGCGGCTACCGATCTTGGTAACGGAGTTCCAGTCGTCAGACATCTTGAATGTGGTGTTGAGGAGTAGAGGGGTTGAGGTTGTGGTTGTCGGGTGCGGAAGGCTGAGTTGGGCGCAGATGTGGGGTGTCCTCTTGAAATGGGTGATTGTTCGTCGATGGATTTGTCAGTCGGCGAACGTGGAAGAGAGGAAATGTAATGTGAATGTGAAGGGCTTTGTAGTAGAGAGGATCGAGCTTTTGCTTATGTAGAGGCCCAAAGAGCAATGTGTGAGCGCGATGAGTCGGAGCGGCAGGTGAGGTCACCGCCACGCGCTAAACTCGCTTAGGACAGGGTCTCTCGAAGCTTCCACGATCGCTTCAGCCCTTCAATGTCCTTCCGCCCTTCTTTCACCGAACAATCACTACATTCAACGTTCGTTTGCGATGGCTAATACGAGCGCACTCATTGTGTGTCACAGCTCATCGTTGTTGGCTACCAGTCCTTCAAGCCAGCCGCTGTGTTTGGATCATAGGTCGTTGACAGATATTTTTCTTTCGCGTCTCACATTGCGCTCGACGGAGTGAGCAGCGTCGATGCGTCTTTATCCATTGGTACTCTGTGTATCTACAACCTCTTCAGTATACGTCGTCCTTCCTTCTCGATGATGGACTCGTTTGTCAAAAGCAGGAAGATCAGCTACCAACCCGTTCCAAGCCCTTTGCTTGCACTTTTGACCGAATGCTTGGGTGTCTGCTCCTTATGGGCAGGCGCTGGTGCTTGGGGTGGGACATCCATAAAACATAATTAGACTTTCATCAGAACATTGCTTGAAGTTTTCATTGATGAGGTACATGTGCTCGGACGCTTAGATAAAGTGTCTATATGTGCCCTGATCGCTCATGAACTTTTGACAAAGGCTCGTCTAATCTTGACAAGCACCCAACCCGACCGCCGGAACGCCATTGCATGCATGCAGCCATATCGAACCATATCAACCATTCTTCGTAAGGTCATACTATTACAAGTTCGACTGCGACTGCGCGACCTCCCGCTCAACCTCGTACATGAAGTCGAAGTATGGCTTGTCGAAGTGGTGCACACGCACGTAACCGTCCTCTCCTCCACTGCAGTAGCTGGTTCCTTGTGGGTGTACGGCGACGTAGTTGAGGGGACCGAAGTGACCACGCACACGACCAATCTCCTCCATGAAAATCTTGTGGTAGAAACGGGCCTCGAATTTTCCTTGACGTGCCGAGGTTGTGGTGACGTCCATGGCTGCTTGTCCTCCACCAAGAATAACGTAGTCCTTTACGGGTGTGATCGCGGCGGAGTTGAGGGGAGTGTCGGCAACGTATGATTTGAGGACGTTGAGCTCTTCGACGTCGACGAGCTTTGCGGTCTTGTCCTTGCTGGCGGTTATGAAGTATGTTCGGTCGGGAGCCCATTGAATGTCGGCTGCGCACTATTAGCTTCCACTCCAGCCGAAGAAGTTGTGCACGGCACTCACTGATTTGCATGTCTGGCTCATGAACGTCGTAGTTGGAGCTGAGCAGCTCTCCAGTCTTGCCATCCCACTGAGTTATTGAGCCGTCCTCGTGTCCGCTGATGATGTACTTCGCGAGGTATGAGAAGCCAGCGACTGTCGCCTTGGACTCGTCGCATACGATCCTGAGCAGCTGCTCGTCCGACTGTTGCGCTTCCGGGTCGGGGTTGATGGGGTAGACGCAGATGGTGGAGAGATGTCCTGATCGCTTCTCGGTGACACCAAGAAGCTGTCTGCCGTCGGGCGAGAACTCGCAGCGCTTGATACTGGTGTTGAATTCCCAGGTGTGGAGAAGCTTGCCCGTCTGCACATGCCATAACCTCATGGTGTTGTCTGCTCCACCGGTAGCCAGTAGCTCAGAGGATGGGTTTACGTCGACCGTCCATAGCGCTCCCTGATGTCCGTGGTATGTTCCGATTCGCTCGCCGTTGTGTGAGTCTGCATCGCATCAGCTTCTATTCGCATTCCTCTTGTACAGGTTGTTTACTAACACCAGGCGCAAACGACGTGGTCCTACAAAAATCAGATTCCGCGCATCAGAAGACCGGGAGGAAAACGTACCTTGGATACAGAGAAAATGATATCTCCATCTGCGTTGTACTGTATGCCATTAGTTTCCTCGTCCCTCATCCTACGCACGGCGCATGCGAACCTTGACTTGCGTGAGCGCACGCTCGTGACCGGAGAGAAGAATGGGCCTCATATTTGTGATGGGTGTGTGGAGGCGGGGTGGTGTGTCGGCTTATATGTGGCGGGCGGCGTCTCGAAATTTGGGTGACTCTTGTGCATATCGACGTTCAGCGGGCGAAGTGGGCTGCTTGGCGCTAGCCGACTAGCGGCTTTGTCCCGCAACCATAGATGAACCGCTGTGCTGAACATCATCTCTCCGCATTGACTCAGCTGTTCATTACGAAAGCCTAGTGACTATGCATACTGGGTTGGGACTATTGGTAAGGCCCATGTCCGGCTCAACGATGCTCCCTGGTGTGACTCACAGCAGACCACCTCCGCCTCCATGTATTCCGATATCAGCAAGGGGTTAGTTGTGTTATGTACCAAGGCACAGCCTTGTGACTCATAGTGTGAACGGTTCGCAAGTTGGTAAGATGCTTTCGTTTCTTGGTAATTGAGCTGGTAAATCTGATTTTGGTGAATCTCGTCAACTCTTCACGACTGTCGATTTCAGAGTCATTGTATCCGTTTCTGTTCGAATTATTCATCTAGCACAACAATCCAGCGTTTTAATGACTTCGTCGGAACTCTAGAACAGCGTATAGGAGGAACACTAGCACGCTTTTCCCGCGCTTGCAGTATTCTGAAGCTCTCGTCTCAAAATCACCATCGATGCTCTCGAAAGAAATACTTGTATTGGCACCGAGTTCCTAGACTGATGATAGTCGAGAGCCTCAAAGGTGTCAACATGTTGCAGACTGCGATCTCATCAAGTCTACTGGTAACTGTGCTACTGTCAGTCCAAATACATACGCGCAGCGCTGTTTCTCCCCTTGGTCTAACGTGTGATCCTTATACTTTTCACTGTCATCTTCACTTTCACTGACGATGCTAATGTCGCGCTTTCCGTTCGTTGCGAGCGCAGTCTTGGCGCAAACACGCTGCTCCTTCCACCTCGCGGTTGGCAAGCCCACAATACTCCAGCGCGACTTCCCAAATACGCCAAATTCGAATCGCGGATCTCGCGACCTCCTCATACAGGAAGGGCAACTGACCAGGTTTGCAGACTACATCAGCATGAAAACAAGCGAAGTAGCTGAACTGACCTTGATGTAGGCTCGAAAATCTTTAGTTCTCCACCTTCAATATGGCTTCTGCAGCGCTTCCTCCCTCTATCATCATAGCTACGCTAGGAAGACTCAGGCCTTTACCACCGGACAGGTACATCATGACCTTGGGTCAAGGCAGCGATCAGTTCCTCGGTACTCCCAACGGTTACAGCGCTACGTATCTACCACCCAGGCTGTTCCAAGCTGTCGGCGCAGGTCGAGGTCTTGTCAAGAAGATCACATGGGCCTCGCATGGCAGCAGACCCGAGTCTTGGTTCTTCGTCTGGGAGCCTGAAGACGGCACAACGCACTTCATGGTCGGACCTGATGTCCCATCGGCGCTGAAATCTTTCATCCAGACCATCCAGGATTCCGAATACCTTCGGTCTGGTCTCCGCGTACAGCTTGGCGCCGCCGACTCGTTCGTAGCA